GCCTTCTTATTTTTCCTATTTGGCTGTACTAGGGCAGTGAAACCCTGAACGGGACGAATACGTGTAGACGAGAGAGCGCATTGGATGAGAGGGCGCAGGCAAATGCCCACTACGGGTGAAGAAAATGGGAGTGGGTATAGCGGTTTTGAAATGCCTGCACTCTTGTCACCCATGTCCGTGCTTCTCTGCATACCGCTACATTCTTGGACAGTGCTATTCCACCCCATCACAAGGATTGATTCACCTTAACTTTTATCGTGAATTTCGTGGGCTGTACCTTCATAAAAAAGCGCGAACTTTATACTGCGCGATGTCGGCGGAGTAAATAAAAGTTTCTCCTAGAACCATATGTGATGAATTCTGAGCATACCGAAATGAATGAGTTGAAATTAAGATCAATTCCATTAGTATTCTCAGCCGGACTCGATCCAGTTCCAATTGATACCACACATGCCATGCACGGATCGGGAGTGTCTTTCTAAACACGTTAAAACTCCTCATCAAAGTAGCAACCAGTGCTTAATCATTGCTCTGCTAGTGAGATTTCGGCATTTTTGCTGGATCGAGCCAGCGGTCAAGCAAACGCTGAGCAAATTTCAAGCAGGCTACACAAGCCATTGATGCCTCTCGTCTATCCTACGCCTTCCCACGCAGCAGATTCATAGGTTCTCGGATACAATACATCAGACAGCGCTAGGAGTATTTGTCTGTACGCAAGGTTTTCGAAGAGGATGAGAATGGAGCATTAGCAAACAATTTCAAAATATGAATCATAATGTGAACGTGGTGAAAATGTAGTTCGAGGGAGCCACCCATAATATCTAACAAAGTGGGGTTGCGGAAGAGCACTCATATCTAATCAACATACAGAGCAGAGGTTCTGAGCGTGTGACTAGAAAGGGATGCAACCCAGGATTCCGTACAAAATCGCATGGCTGGACTGCCACTTTGGCAATCGCAAGAAGATTAGGCGCAAATAAACGATCAGCAAGGTGGCAGCCATTTTAGCTGTAGAACAGCACGACAAGGGTAGCAAGTGTGACGTACTGGTCGTAGGCCGTTGTGAAGCGAAGGATATGGATGGTTGATAAGATATGAGTGCCTTTCCGCACTCTATTCGGATTAGGATTTCTGAAGTGTCTGCCACGGTCTGGAATGTTAGGTAGACATGAGCATGCAGTTGTGAGTTGAAATGGGTTCCCAGCTGAGCTTCCATAGTGCCAGTAAACCACGACAAGCATAGGCACGATCCAATGATTTCTGCCTTGATGAGGTAACCGATGGAATGGACACGGGTCAGATCATCAAGGCGGAAACACTCCTTAAATTCCTTAACTTGCTGCGTATTGCGGCGTTTTTTGGCCGTCCCGCGCATGTGGCATGCACCTGTTCAGACTCACCACCACATGCTACGCGGTGAATGAATCTTCTTTTTATATTCCACATCTGTTATATAAGCATCATACATAGGTCTAATATATACTATATTCCATTTATTTACATATTTGTGCAATGAATCAGTTGTTATCGGATGGTGTATGAAGAATTATTTGGTAGACTGTGGGTCAGAGTTGAAGGCATAGCAAAATTACTAGTCTTCGGAATGTATTTTCATAACGATGAAAAATGAGCTCCTCTCAACTAGAAGAGGCTATATCTTCAATAGCCTGACCGCGGTGAATCTTAAAAAAATCTCCAAACTCGAAATGTACAAAACTGATGTTGAGCTTAATTCGACTCATTTAATTTCACTTTATTCCGCGGTCTTCCATGGCACTGCGCACCACAACTCTTGAGAACCAGAAGAATTTTCACAAATGTCTAGGGGACCTACCTCAATTGGACAGTGCTCTTTTTCTAGCCGTGTAGTTTGAAGAAAATCAGCAATCAATGCCTGAGTCGGGTTATTGGCCACGAGGCCCCCATCCGAGAGACCGTTATAGGAGTCAAAGTAGTAAGGAGCAGCACTGAATGAAGGACGTGAATTGAGAAATGGATAGATTTGGCTGTGCAAGCAATTACCTGGTGCAGCGGGCGGCTTTCCATATGAGAATTTTTTCGGGATCTAGGTAATCCAGTTGCTCTCTTAGTGATTCCGGTATTTGTGGTGAAAAAGAACGAAAAAGGACAAGATTGGCTGGCGATCTCCTAGTGTCGGCCACAGTAACCATCACTCTGTAATGAATGCACTTCAGAAAATTCCTATGGCGTGTCGTTCAGCACAATGAGCTTTAAAAGCAGTGAATAAGATGGATGGGGGGAGGCGAAGCGGTTTCGGTGATTTGCTAGGCAGCATTGGTGAACCTGGTTGATGTGGTAAGCAGCTTCTGGTGCTCTTTCAACAATGACGACCTACCCTCACAGCTGTGGCATATGGAATTTGTGGTTTGGAGGAAGGCCTAGTTGGAGATATACTGCCATTACAGAGCATTTGAGCAAATTCACAGGGAAAATTTTGTTCATGGTGCACCAGTACCTTAAGCCTTAAAGGGTCGTGGAGTGGATGAGATGAGCGTAGAAAACTCTACAGACGCTCCGCAAAAAAGAAGAAGAGGTGATGGACATCTTCTATAGACGGTGCTGTGCATTTGACAACTTTTTACTTTTTTTAGGTTTTTTATTCAAAGAGGATTCGTTTCTTGCCGCTTCCTCTTGTAAATCAAGGATTTACAGGTGCCACTGATCCGGAACTTAGAAAAGCTAGCCTTTGTGAGGAAGGACTTTTTACAAAAGTTCTCAAAAAAGTTCGTATTCGTCAAGCAAAGTGCTCACTTAGGTCCGTCTTTTGGGAAGCTACCCATGTGACCAAGACCGAATATCTCTTTAGCAGTATCTTCAACTCCCTTCGCATCATGCTTAGGAACCTTTGCCTGAATGAGGAACGATTTGAAATGAAATGCTTGGTTAATGAAAATTCAAGGTGATAAATACCTTGTTCCCACAAAAGACTCTGAATCTATTTTCGATGAAAAAGCGCTTTGCCTCAATGAGTGTTTTTCCTAGAAACCGACTCTTTCTGCTCAAATTTTTTTTTCGAAAGGTAACCGTTGTGCACCAACCGTGACACAGCATCAAGGCAGTAATTCCGCCGGAACTTGTTCCAGCTATCCAATCAATGTATGGTAAAAAGTCGCCGGCTAGCTCCTTCTCCAGTGCAAGTAATATCTGTAATAAACCTCGTAAAGTGTAGTAACTGAGCCAACAGTCTCCTTGAATTAATAGACATAGTTTTCAAAGGCATCTACGCTCATGTTTTTTCGAAGTGAAATCGCTACTCAATTTCATGGAAGTTTTCTAAATTCTCTTCTCAATATCGTATCCGAATCGCAGCCATTCTAGCTCATACCAATGCTTAAAATTCAGTGAATGCTGCACCATGGAACAGCTAATCTATTGGTTCTCATAATAGGTCGGTACATAATTCCTGGAACACTTTGGCAGCTTTCTTCTGTGACACACATATTCGATTCAATATAGAGCACTATTATTAGCAGCAAATCACCAACGCAAGGGCATGTGTCTAATGCAGGGTCAAGCGAGGCTTCGAGGAAAATTTTGGAGTACGACTACTCTAAAGGCCATGAAACGACTTTCTTCACAAGAGAAACTACGAAAAAGTTATTTTCACCCCGAAAACTGTTTATCGAGAAGTCTCTGCTACTCCACCCTCCACCATGAAGATCAAGAAGTACAGAAGAAGTAGGAGAAAAATCATTATCAATGAGTCCTACCAACAAATTGAACAAAAAACGACGAAATGACTCATGAAAAAAGCAGACTGTGGCAGCATCACTTCTTCCTTCACTTCCTTTCGAAGGCTCACCAAGCCTCAGTACTACACGGGGTATGCTCTCAATTCACACATTCACTATTCGGTTGAAGAAAGCTTTGCAACAGCCCTAGGGTCTCGCGACATCTAGTCCGCT